TTCCTGGGCGCTGAGGAGGGAGGGCGGGCTCTCCTCCTCCTGGTAAGAGAACTTTCCGTGTGGTGGCTTGCCGTGTGCTGTGTGTGTATGTGTGTGTGTTGCCTGTGAGTTTGTGTGTGTGTGATGTGCATGTGTGTGTGTGATACGTGTGTTACGTGCTTCGTACTTTGTTTGCTGTGTGTGTGTGGGCGTATCTGCATATGTGTGTGTGTGTGTGTGGCGCGTATCTGCATATGTGTGTGTGTGGGCGTATCTGCATGTGTGTGTGTGTGTGTGGCGCTATGCATGTGTGTGTGTGCGTATCTGCCATGTTTATTTTTCTTTCTTTTTTCGTCTATTTCTTGTCATTTAATAATTTACTTATCATTCATTCTCGTTTGACTGCTTGTTATATTTATTTATATTTCCTCTTGGCTTGTTTGTTATTTTATTCATATTTTCATTATCATTTCTACATTTTCACTTAACCTCTTTCCTTTCTCTCTTCCTCCCTCGTCCTCTCTCCCATTTACCTTTCTCCACGAGTCAGATCAGCTGATCTCACCCTCGACACGTCGCCGACCGTGCAGTTACAACGCGTTCTATGCTTCATTCATTAAAAAAAAAGAAAAAAAAGAAATATATTTATTATTACTATATTTATTTATTATATACATATGTGTGTGTGTTGTGTGTTGTGCATGATGTGTGTGTGCTGTGTGCGTGTGCGTGTTGTGTGTGTGTGTGTGTGTGTGTGTTGTGTGTGGTGTGCGTGTGCGTGTGTGCGGTGTGTGCGTGTGTGTGTGTGTGTTGTGTGTGTGTGTGTGTGCTGGTGTTGTGTGTTGTGTGTGTGTGTGTTGGTGGGTGGGTGTGGGTGTGTATGTTTTTTTTTTTTTTTTTTTTTTTCGTGACTTTCACCCGATATAATTTTGGTTACCCCTCCTTAGTCCCTCCCCCCCCCCTCCCTCAGCGTCCTCCCTGCCCCCCTCTCCCCAGGCTGCCCCCCCAGCCGGCGCTTCCCGGGGCCGCAGCCTCCCTGTCCGAGGAGATCGGTCTCGTCGGCGCCGCCGTCAGCGCTCTTCGGTCCGGCCGCCGAAGGAGTCCGAGAAGTCGTCCAGAGACGGCATGGACCTGAAGGGGGAGGCCTGGCTTTGGGACGGCCTTGGCTTGGAACCGCCAGAGGACTTATCCAATAGCTTCTGCTCCCTGCGCGCCTTCCTCTCCCTCTTCCTGTCCCGCCGGGCGCTGGCATCCCGCTTCTTGTCCCCGTCCTGCTGGCCGCCGTGGGACTCCGCGGGGAGGCTGCCCTTCGACAGGCCCTCGACCGATGCTTTTGGACGCACCGCAGGCGCCCTTAGGTGGTGTCAGCGCCCTTCGCTTTTGGGGAGAGCGAGGCCCTTCGGGACCTTCGTGCCCTCCTGCCGGTGGCAATCGCCGGAGTCGGAGTCCTCGCTGTCGGAGAGGAGGTCGCGCTGGCGCTTGAGCGCGAGCTGAGGTCGGTTCGTAGGAGGGGCATCGCCTTCGCACCGTCGGGCCTGAAGAGGCGCGGAAGGACAGCGCGACACCCGAAGAAATTGCTTCCTCGGCTTTGGAAGCCGCCAGAGGACTTGCTCTGTGGCTGTGGCTTCTGCTCCCTGTCGCCAGCATCCCGCCTCGTGGGGGCCCTGTCCTGCCTGGCCCTCGGGGCGCTCCGAGGACGGGCCCGTCAAGTCCGAGAAGTCGTCCAGAGACGGCATGGGACCGGAAGGACTGCTTGGCCGGCCATTCCTGGCGCTGAGAGAGGGAGGGCGGTGCTCTCTCCTCTCTGTAAGGAACTTCCCGTGTGGTTTGTTGTGTTCGTGCATGTGGGCGTGCGTGTGTGTGTGTGTGTGTGTGTGTGTGATTTGGTGTGTGTGTGTATACATACGTGCTTCGTCTTTGGTGTGTGTGTGTGGCGTATCAGCACATGTGTGTGTGTGTGGGCGTATCTGCATTGTGTGTGTGTGGGCTATCTGTATATATGTGTGCGGTGTGGGCGTATCTGCATGTTATTTTTCTTCTTTTTTCGTCTATTTCTTGTCTTTTAATAATTTACTTATCATTCATTCTCGTTTGACTGCTTGTTTATTTATTTATATTTCCTCGTTGGTTTGTTTATTTATTCATCATTCATATTTCCATCTCATTTCTACAGCTCTTTCACTTTACACTCTTTTCTTTCTCTCTTCCTCCCTTCGTCTCTCTCCCATTCACCTTTCTCCACGAGTCAGATCAGGCTGATCTCACCCTCGACACATCGCCGACCACGTGCAGCGTTTACAACGGTTCTTATGTTATGTTCTCATTAAAAAAAGAAAAAAAGGAAAACTACTTTTATAATCTATATCTATTTATATATCTATTATATACGGTGTGTGTGCCATAATAAATAATATGAATATATGTAGTATTATAATATATAATTAAATATTACTATATATATATATATATAATATATATATATAATATTATGTCTGGTGCCGTGTGTGTGTGTGTGTGTGCGTGTGTGTGTGTGTGTGTCTGTTGTGTGTGTGTGTTGTTTGTTGTCGTGAGTGTGGTGAGTGTGGTGTTTTTTTTTTTTTTTTTTTTTTTTTTTGCTGACTTTCACCCGATATCATCTTATGTTCCCCTCCTTTAGTCCTTCACCCCTCAGCCTCGTCCTCCATCCCCCCCCGTCTTCCCAAGGCTGCCCCCCCCTCCGCAGCGCTTCCCTGCCGCAGCCTCCCTGTCCGAGGAGATCGGTCTCGTCGCGCCGCCGTCAGCGCCTCTTCGGTCCGGCCGCCGAAGGAGTCCGAGAAGTCGTCCAGAGACGGCATGGACCTGAAGGGGGAGGCCTGGCTCTGGGACGGCCTTGGCTTGGAACGCGCACAGGACTTATCCAATAGCTTCTGCTCCCTGCCGCGCCTTCCTCTCCCTCTTCCTGTCCCGCCGGGCGCTGGCATCCGCTTCTTGTCCCCGTCCTGCTGGCCGCCGTGGGACTCCGCGGGGAGGCTGCCCTTTCGACAGGCCCTCGACCGATGCTTTGGACGCACCGCAGGCGCCCTTAGGTGGGGTCAGCGCCCTTCGCTTTGGGACAGGAGGCCCCTTCGGAACCTTCGTGCCCTTCTTGCGGGGCAATCGCCGGAGTCGGAGTCCTCGCTGTCGAGAGGAGGTCGCGCTGGCGCTTGAGCGCGAGCTGAGGTCCGGTTCGAGGAGGTCGGGGCATCGCCTTCGCACGCGTCGGGCCTGAAGGAGGCGCGGAAGACGCGCGACACCCGAAGAATTGCTTCCTCGGCTTGGAAGCGCCAGAGACTTGCTCTGTGGCTGTGGCTTCTGCTCCCTGTCGCCAGCATCCCGCTTCTTGGGGCCTTGTCTGCTGGCCCTTGGCTCGGCCGCTCCGAGGACGGGCCCGTCAAGTCCGAGAAGTCGCCAGAGACGGCATGGACGGAAGGACTCTTGGCCGGCATTCCTGGCGCTGAGGAGGGAGGCGGGCTCTCGCTCCTGGTGTGCCTGTAAGGACTTTCCCCGTCTGGTCGCCTGTCATGTTGGGCTTGCATGTGCATGCATGTGCGTGTGTGCATCCGTTGGTTCACTTCTCTCTTGGTCGTGTATGCATACGCTGTGTGCATGTTTTTTTCCTTTCCATACCTGCTATTTGCTGTGTTATGTGCTGTGTTGTCGCGTTACGCTCTACGTGTGTCAATTGTTTGTGGTGTTGTAGTGTGTCGTGGCTGTGTTTTGCTACGCATACTGTCTGTGTTTCATGTTTGTGTGGTGTAGCTGTGTGTACGGCCTACCCTCTCGCTCATGTTTGTGTTGTGTGTGTGGTACGCATACGTGGCATGTTTGTGTCGTACTCACCTGTGTGTGTGTACGGCATACGGTGTGTCATGTTTTTGTGCCCTGTATGTCGTTAGTTCGTTGTACGCATAGATGTTCATGTCATGTTTTCCGTTGTCTTGTATGTTGTCTGTTTGTTGCTCTTGTACGCATACGTGTGTCGACTCGTTTGTTGTGGATGACTAACTCACTTTCAACTTTTTCTTCTTTATTGTTTGCTTGCGTGTATCATTACGCGCTCGTGTCCATGTTTCGTCTCTCATGCCACCTTTGTGTGTGTGTGTTACGCAATACGTGTGTCATGTTTGGTGTGTTGTGTGGTGTACGCCATCGTGTCTCTTCAATGTGTATCATGTTAAAAATTTAATGCGTGTGATAGTAGAATGTAGTGTAGTATGTGGTCATGTTTGTACGAAAAAAAAAAAAAAAAATAAAATAGAAAAAAAAAAAAAAAAAAAAAATAAACAAAAAAGGCATAGAAGTCGGTCTGTTTAGTGTTGACATAAGGAACGAGGCGCTGCTTCGAACCTCTTACGCTCGTGTCATGTTTGCGCGGGCTTCACCGCCTGGGTGTGGTCATCTGTGTGATGTACGCATACGGTGTCTATGCTTTTGTATATTACAAGCTTTATATTAATGTGGGTTGACGCATCATGTTGTGTATGTTTGTGAAGGTAATGTGAACATGTGTTTGTGTGTGTGTGTGTGTGTACGCATACGTGTGTCATGTTTGTGTGTATGATATGTGTCTGTTGTATGTAAATAGAGCATATGTGTGTGTGGGCGTTCTGCGATTATGATTTGTGTGCCCATATATGTGATGTGTGTGGATTATAGTCATTATGCAAATATATAATAATTATAATAATAGATATTTATTTATATAAGTATAATAGCTATATACTAAAATTATATATTCATTTCTATAACGTGAATATATAATAGTATAGTAAGGTATATAGTATAATATATATATTATATATATATATGTGGGAAAGTGATGTGATAATGTTGTGTGAATGTGTCTGTGATTGTGTGTGTGTGTGCTGTGTGCGGGAGCTGTTGGGCATCCTTCTCCCACACGGCCGACTCTATTATATGACTCTTAACGACCTAACAGAGCTGTGCTCGCGGTCCCCGCTTGCCATATCGTTTAAACGCATCAACCATCGCGCAGCCCTACC